TCCTGCAGCTCTTTGTGAGTCTTCAGCAGCAGAGGGGGGATCTTCTTATATATTATTTTATTTTATTTTATTTTATTTTCAATTAAATTAAATTATATTAAATAATATTATAATATATTATTTATGTTATACTATATTATTTTATATATTATATTATATTTTATAATATTATATTATTTTACATTATATTATAATATATAATTTTATATTATATTATATTATAGTATAATATTTCATTTTATTTTATATTAAATTAAATTAAATAATATTATAATATATTATATAATTTTATATTATATTATAGTATAATATTTCATTTTATTTTAAATTAAATTAAATTAAATTAAATACTATTATAATATATTATAGTATAATATTTCATTTTATTTTATTTTATTTTATTTTATATTATTTTTCTCTGTGTGTGTGTGTGTGTGTGTGTGTGTGTGTGTGTGTCTCAGGTGTGTGAGATGCCCATGCCAGCCTTTATGAAGCAGTCTCTGGAGGAGCTCGCTGTGGGGACGTACGCTAACATCGCCTACATCCACCCCGACACGCCGCTCATCACAGCACTGTCCGTCTTCACTCACCGCCGCGTCTCTGCCCTGCCCGTCGTCGACCACAACGGTAACCGCCGGCAACAAGATTTTTCAACACGTGATTTGATGTTGGCGAACGACTTGGTGTGAACATGTTGTGTTCCTGTGTGCGTCTGCAGGTAAAGTGGTGGACATCTACTCGAAGTTCGACGTCATTGTGAGTAAACGTGTGTGTGTGTGTGTGTGTGTGTGTGTGTGTGTGTGTGTGTGTGTGTGTGTGTGTGTGTGTGTGTGTGTGGAGTTGTGCTCACTGTGGGGAGAGGAAACCTGAGTGTGATGTGTCTGTACAGAACCTGGCGGCAGAGAAGACGTACAACAACCTGGACGTGACGGTGACGCAGGCTCTCAGACACAGATCCCAGTACTTTGAAGGAGTCATGAAGTGCAACAAACTGGAAACACTGGAGACCATCGTGGACCGCATTGTGAAGGCCGAGGTAACCTCTATAACAAGCTGCTGCCCTGGACCTGAGGGTAGAATGAAACTGAGACCTGATTCATCTTCAGCTTTATCAGATATCGTTCAATGTTTTCAGCCTTAAAGTGTGTCTGTGTGTGTGTGTGTGTGTGTGTTTGTGTGTGTGTGTCTGTGTGTGTGTGTGTGTGTGTGCAGGTTCACAGGCTGGTTGTCGTTGATGAGGAGTCTCGTATCGTCGGAATTGTCTCTCTATCAGACATCCTGCAGGCGCTGGTTCTAACCCCCGCAGGTACTAACACACTTTAACCAGAATATTACATCAAATGTAACTTTTAATTTTTTAAAAGAAATTTCCAAGAGGGGACTTTTTTCCATTAGCGATGTCTACCTATCAAAGAGGGGACCTCCATATGCTGCAGTGGAACTGCCTCTACCCATTCTTTCACATTCAATGAGTGTTTGTTTACTGCAAAGACTTTCTTTGTTTCTATCAAAAATACAATTTAACTGTAATGTTTTCAATATTTAAAACTTTATCTGTGATACAGATATTACAAAAATACATTACAAAAATAATTGTGGCCACTTTTTTTTTTAGAATAAATAATGATTTACCTGCAATTAAGAAATAACTTGTCTGCATGCACTAATATTAAGGCCTGCAGTGCTAGCCACAAAATTACTTTATATAGGCTTTAATTACAGAAATTATATAATATTACAGTAGTGCACTAATTTAAATTTCTTAGGGGAATTTGTATTCTTTTTATGATGTGTGTGGAATGGTGAAATAAACAGAGTGGGAAAAAAAAGACATCATTATGTACTCATGTATGTTTGTACCACTACCAAAGACTGCCAGTGTAAAATTTGTAAATTAATTGATTGAATGGTTACTTCATGCCCTACGTGTGAAGTGTGCCTGGTGCCTTTCTGTTCCAATCACAGCCTTTGTTCAAAGTCATCCCTTTTGAATAAATACCTCAGCTAGGACTTTCGAAGAGCTATGGCTCTAATTTTTTATATCATCTTAGGACTGTGTGTGTGGGCTTTGTAGCACTTTAAATAAACTTCTCCTCAATATAATTCTTCATTATTTTGGTACTGTTTTCTAATTGTGGTTGTAGGAACGTCCAAGTCCAAGTGTGGACCAACTTTCTGTTTTAGATCAACATATAAAGCCCTGTTCATTGATCTGTATCATTTTGTGATGGTTCTGAGATGAGCTGCTAATAGCTCATTACCATTTCAATGCCCATTTAAAGCACTGACATAGCAGTTAGACTGTAGAGCTTAAGATGCATTTCAGTTGACAATACTGATTCAATTCAACAAATTTTAATTTAGTTCCAAATCATAACAGACGTTATCACAGGGAACTCCTGTCATTCTATACAAAACAAGTGGTGACTTTTTTATGTACTGAGAATTAACATTAAATTATTGAGAAGAATTGCAAACTGAGCTTGTTTATTGAAAAACTGATTGACATCCAGTGCTTGTGAAAATGGACAGTGAGTATTTTAGGACTGAGCCACTTTAAAGGGCAGGTCAAAGTCTGAGGTCAAGTTTATTAATCAAAACTAATACAAAAAGGATCTTACTGCTGACCACTTTATTACTTATTTTTTCATCTTTTTTTATTTTTATTTTATTCCCTTTGACTCCTTTTTGTGAATTTCCCCAGTGTGGAATCAATAAAGTCTGTCTTATCTTTTGGACCGCCCTTTATGTTACTATTTCAATTTTGATTCTTAGGACATCCACTAAAGGTGAGCCTTTTGTGTCACAGAAACATAATAACAAATCATGTTTCACTAAAGCTGAGCCTTTACATATATATATTTTACAAAAACTAAAAGAAATCCTGTATCCTTTCTTCACTATAGCCTTTGTAATCGCCCCTCTACAGTCTGAAAGACAGCCTGGGGCTTAAGCCATTCACACCCTGAAGGTGTGTTAAAAACGACGTGTATAAATGGGTCATTGAAATCCTTGCTCCAGCCTGCAGAGTCAAGGCCAAATAGGTATTAAACACTCACACACCTTTAAGTCCCCTGTTGGCCAAAATTGTAAAAAGTTCACCAGAGCGCATTTCACAAAAAAAGTCCCCTGTCGGTCTGTCAGTCCCCTGTTCGTGGGTGTGTAACGACGCTGAAGTTCCCTGATAGATAGGTAGGCTAGTGGTGACTCACTCACACACACACACACACACACACACACACACTTTATAGGAGCTATGGGGACTCACTGAAGCTAAGCCAACATATCCAGATGTGATCTAGATTATCAGGAACATCTGAGAGTACAGCGTGAGCTCACAGGGCATACTCTACCGCCCCATAATGCATAGCGTCTTTTCTGACTGGCCTCAAAGACTGGAGGAATCCACTTCAACCGGCAGTTTTATGGAAATTAATGGATTCTGTCTGTCTGTCTGCAGGTCTGGGGAGGAAGGAGTCTCTCCCCTCTCAGCTGACAGCTCTGGACTCAACAGAACCAGACACAGGATGTAGACCTGGACTAGATCAAGAAAAGGATCCGGATCAGGGACCGGAGCCTAGTACAGAGACAGAGAGTAAGCCTGAACCAGATCAGGACCAGGACCAACACCAGGACCAACACCAGGACCAGGAGCTGGATAATGAAACAGAGACAGGCTACATGGACACTGATACTGCTGAGACCTGCCAGCAGGGGGAGAGAGAGAGAGAGACAGAGGGGGAGGGGGTGAGAGAGACAGAAGGGGACGGAGAGACAGAGAGGGAGATAGAGACAGAGGGGGGAGGGGGGAGAGCGAGACAGAAGGGGAGAGAGAGACAGAAGGGGACGGAGAGACAGAGAGGGAGAGAGAGACAGAGGGGGAGGGGGAGAGAGAGACAGAAGGGGAGAGAGAGATAGAGGGGGAGCGAGAGACAGACGGGGAGGGGGAGGGAGAGAAAGAGACAGAGAGGGAGAGAGAGACAGAGGTGGAGAGAGAGGCAGAAGGGGAGGGGGAGGGAGAGACAGAGGTGGAGAGAGAGACAGAGGGGGAGACAGAAGGGGAGAGAGAGACAGATGGGGAGAGAGAGACAGAGGGGGAGATGGAGGGAGAGGGAGACAGTGAGGTAACACAGCCAGAGAGTGAGACAGGTGCAGAAACAACAGAGAGACAGACGGAGGGGGAGACACAAGTGACGGAGACAGACAGAGGGGAGGAAGGAGGAGAGGAGACAGGTGAAAGAGAGAGGGAGGAGGAGGAAGGGAAAGAGGGAGAAATAGGGGGGGAGGCAGAGAAGGAGGGAGGAGGGGAGGAGGGGGACGCAGCGTGACATCATCTTCCAGCGTCTCTCCAGACTTCGCGACTCGAGTTGATTCACTAATCACAGAAGAAGATGAAGAGTGGGCGGGGTCAAGAAAGAGCACTGACAGAAGCCTGACGTGTGATTGGCTGGGAGGTTCTGAGAGTCTGTCTCTCATTGGCTGTTTAGGCGGAGGGTGATGAGTCGGTGCAGGGTTACGGTTGGACGGTTACTCTGGAGGTGGGGGGGCAGGTGGGTGATGGACATGTGCTGGAGCCAATCAGGGATCTTTGCTCGTTTCTCAGAGGATCTTTTATTGATTAAAGGTTTCACAATCACTGATCCTCATTTCTCCCAATTAATGATTTCTGTAGTTGTTGTTGTAAGAGATGGAGAAGACACTGCATCCTACATTTCCCATAATGCAGCTGGGAACAGAAACATGTGAACAGAACTGATTTATTTATAGTAAACTCATTGTTAGTGGCGTAGTCCGCCGTTCCCACACTGGATTCACAGGAATACAACATGTCCTACTCCTTCACAGTAAAACTAAGGCTTTTATTGTGAAGCCTGAGGATTATATTAATGACTTCCACACGCCTGCAGTTACCAGCAGTAACCTGCAGGCGTCCCCAGAGACAACTGGAATGAATGATGAGGAAGAGACGTACAGACGCACTCCTTTAATGGCCGATAAATACATCCAGTTATTAACTGAACAAACGTTATTGATTCCAGAAATAATCACTGCAGTCAATATTTCACCAACATGTCCCCACGATGACTTCCTCTGTGATGTCATAAAGGGGGTGGGTCCATCATGTCGTCATGGTGCCTTTTAGTTTCTGATTGGTTGAGAGAGAGAGAGTTTTAATCAATAAATGAATCCTTACTGTAATAGTTTATGTTCCAGATATCATTATTTCTGTGCTGTACCAGAGATCCTATATAATAAGATTACTCACTGTAAAGATCGTATGTATATTGTTTTATAGACACAATCAGGCTGTTTTGTTATTTTGGTGTAAAATTTTAAATGAATCTGTACAAAAATAGATTTTATTGTTAAATTAATTAAAAGTATTTATAGTTTGTGCTCAGAAATTTTATAATTCACAGTGAGACTGCAGGGGGCGCTCACACAGCACAGTTTGGACCATCAATGGGCGGATTGATTTCAAATTTAACGTCAGTGTTAGCTTCTCAGACAGCTTTTGACGTGGACTCTGCTGTTGGACCATGTTGATGGTCTCACATTGGATTCTCTGAGGAATTAACCTTATTTCAGGGCTCACAGGTCACTTTCGGCACCAGATAACAAACTTGTTTTTTTAAAATCTGAAATCGTTTCTCTTTATCAGCTGATAGAAAACTGTCTCTGCCTGTTTTTATAAATGTAATCTATCTGTTGCTGTTGTTAAAAAAATGAATAAAACATCTTGATTTTTCTTTCTAACACATGTTTTGAGTTTTGATTTAAATAATTTACATGCAGCTAAAACCAAAACCAAGATGGCAATGGCCAAAATGCCAAACTTTAGGCTTCAGAACACTAGTCTACAAAGCAGTGTGTGATGTCATGGTGGGATTCAGTTCAGGACGGAGACACAGACGCTCAGATACCGAGACGGAGGAGTGCTAGCCGGGCAGACTAGCATGTTAGCAATTAGCCTGCATTAGTTCACCATCTCCCTGAGTATTGTCACAATGACGGTCTTTACACAGCGCATCATGAATCATGATCATTGTCATCTTTCATTAAACAGTCACTATTTTCATTATCCCAGTTTTTCCATAAGAAGTCCTCCAGTAACTCTGTGTTCCTGTTGGTGTAACAGTGGAACATGTAGACTGCAGCCAGAAACTCCTGAATGCTCAGATGAACGAAGCAGTACACTGTTTTCTGGAAGATCACACTCTCTCTTTTGAAGATAACTGTACAAACTCCTGAGTACACTGAGGCCTCTGTGACATCAAGACCACACTGCTCCAGGTCTTCTTGGTAGAACATGATGTTTCCTTTCTCCAGCTGTTCAAATGCCAGCCTCCCCAGCTTCAGAATAACTTCCCTGTCAGCCTCCATCAGCTCCTGTGGACTCGTCTCATGTCCCTCATCATACTTCTGCTTCTTCCTCTTTGTCTGAACCAGCAGGAAGTGTGAGTACATGTCAGTCAGGGTCTTAGGCAGCTCTCCTCTCTGGTCTGTAGTCAACAGGTGGACCAGAACTGTAGCAGTGATCCAGCAGAAGACTGGGATAAGACACATGATGCGGAGGCTCATGGAGGTTTTGATGTGTGAGATGATTCTGTTGGACAGATCTTCATCACTGAATCTCCTCCTGAAGTACTCCTCCTTCTGGGCGTCAGTGAAGCCTCGTACTTCTGTTACCCTGTCAATATATTTAGGAGGAATCTGATTGGCTGCTGCAGGTCTGGAAGTTATCCAGATGAGAGCCAAGGGAAGCAGATTCCCTTTGATGAGGTTTGTCAACAGCACGTTGACTGAAGACTTCTGTGTGACGTCAGACACAACCTCATTGTTGTGGAAATCCAGTGAAAGTCTGCTTTCATCCAGGCCGTCAAAGATCAACAAAGGTTTACAGACAGCGAGCTTCTCTGCTGTGACCTTCTGTAATGTTGGATGGAAAACATGGAGCAGTGTGAGAAGACTGTACTGCTCATCTTTGATCAGGTTCAGCTCCCTGAACAAAAGCGGAACCACCAGACTGAGATCTTGGTTTTCCAAACCCTCTGCCCAGTCCAGAGTGAACTTCTGCACTGAGAAGGTTTTTCCAACATCAGCGACACCGTTCGTCAGAACCACTCTGATGTGTCTCTGTTGGTCAGGTAAGGCTTTAAAGATCTTGTGGCACTTGATTGGAGTCTCATGGAGGATCTTCTTCTTGGAAGCTGTCTCAAGCTGCCTCACCTCATGTTGGGTATTAACCTCTTCACTCTGTCCCTCTGTGATGTAGAGCTCAGTGTAGATCCTGTCGAGGAGGGTTCCACTTCCTGTTTCATCAGTTCCTTCAGTCACATGTTTACATCTCGTCTTCAGACTGATCTTATGTTCATCTAAAACCTCCTGCAGACCACTATCTGCTGGAAGACAACCAGATCTAATGTTAAACAAATGCAACTGAATCCTAAATTTAAAAATTGGCATGAAAACTATAAATGTACTATCTTACTTTGTACAGAGCTTGTCTGACTTTCTGTCTACAGTCCAGGTCTTTTTCTTGATCTTCCTTCACACTTGGGACAGGAGGAGTCTCCAGATAAAGCAGACTGGTCCCAGTATGAGGTGATGCACTGTCTGCAGAACCAGTGTCCACAGCTGGTAGAGACCGGATCCTTCAGGACATCCTGACACAAAGAACAGAAGGACAGCTGCTCCTCCACAAGAACTGACTCCTCTTCCTCTCTCTGTGGAGTGGAAGAAATGTCATTATGCCATGAAACCTTTCTATGATTTGCCAGGTGTAACTGGATGATGAGATAGCATCATACTGCCAACATGTGCTTGGCTACTGTTTATTCCCTGTTTGAGACAATGTAAATATGAAAATATTAGCTGGCAAAGTAAAGTCAGTAGAAGAAAACCATACCTGTGTGCACATCATAAAATCCAACCTGAGAACAACAGAACCCTGATGTGTTTAGAAACAAGTGCTATGCGTTGCCACAATCGGCAAAGGGATATTTAGAGAAAAAAAGGAGCAGCATTTCATGAAAAGAACCCCTTTCCCAACTGTTAAACAAGGGGGTAGATCTATCAGGCTTAGGGGTTGTGTTGCAGCCAGTGAGACAGGAAACATTGCATGGTGGAGGGAAGAATGGATTCCACTAAATAAAGCACATTCTGGAAACATCACAGCATCTGTAAAACAGTTGAAGCTGAAAAGAGGAAAGCTTTTACAACAGGATAATGATCCTAAATGTACCTCGAAATCAACCTCACTTTCCCCTGACTTAAATATCATTGAAAATCTGTGGGTAGATCATAAAATAGCTGCGCATGCAATACAACACAAGAATATTACATAACTAGAAGCCTTTTAAAAGGAAGAAATGGGAAACTACAAAAAGCATTTGCAAGCACATCAGGAGCTGCTCCGTCCTTCCGCCCTGCCTCCAGGTCTGCTTCTGCTGTGTCCCTGTCCAGCCCCGGGCCGTCCACCGGAGAGCCCCATTCTGGTTACTTGAACCTAACCTGACTTATGAACTTGACTGACTGATTTTCTTCACTGTGATTCAATCATCTAAACTGCACCAGCTCAGCCCCATTTTGCCAGCTTGTGATGTGCTTTGGAGCATGCAATTTGGGAGTGGGCCATATGTCCCATAGAGAGATACTCAGATTAAGAAGAAGGTTACCAAGTTTTACCAACCTTTGTGGTCTGAAAACTGTGAACTATCTCACCACACTGTTCTTGCAAGTGTTGGAACACACATGTGGAAGAACTACGGCGCTAAATGCTCCATAGACCTAAGGAGAACTGCAGAGCTGTGATTATTCTCGGTGGGTTTATCAAGACAAAACACTTTTCACATCATTTGCTTTGCTAATTTGGTCTTCTGCTCAGCTTGTTACCCCACTGACCCTTCCATCTCCCCTACAAGTTTATCTTCATGAATCTATGTTCTCATAGTTAAACCCGCCAAGGAGGTTACGTTTTACAGTTCGCTTATTTGCAAGATTATGGAAAAACTACTGGTTTCACGAAACTTTGTGGAAGGAAGCCCGTTATATGTTGGAGCTGATCCGAATCACAGGGTGGGTACATTAACTATTTTTCACTTTCCTGTGACAAACTTAAATGAATCCATTGCACATGAGCAAAACTATCGCAGTTAAAGTAAACAAATCATAACAACCACCTTAAACATAACAGTAGAAATGCAGCAGGTATGTAAGAAATAAGCAATTAGAGATGTGATTTTTTCCGGATCTTCTGAATTAAAGTGAAAGGTGTGTCTCTGTGGAGTGGAAGAAATGTCATTATGCCATGAAACCTTTCTATGAAGTTTAAAAATCAATTTCAAGATTTGCCAGGTTTAACTGGATGGTGAGATAGCATCATACTGCCAACATGTGCTTGGCTACTGTTTATTCCCTGTTCGAGACAATGTAAATATGAAAATATTAGCTGGCAAAGAGTCAGTAGAAGAAAACCATACCTGTGTCCACATCATAAAATCCAACATGAGAACAACAGAACTGATGTGTTTAGAAACAAGTGCTATGCATTGCCACAATCAGCAAAGGGATATTTGGAGAAAAAAATTAGTTATTTGTAACTAGTTACACTACTAGTTACTGTAGAACGTTACAACACTGGTCACCAGTATGCTGTTTTATTAGGGTTTTGAATTTAATTTCATTGACTGGGTCGGTTGAGAAACACTGTGAAGATCTTGTAAAGGTATTGGCAATCGAGCCATTCAAGCTTCTGTCAGCCAACATGAACAACTAAAGACACCGGCGAATCTGCCTGTAATATAATGTTTCAGAGTCACACTGTGACCGGAGCACAGAGGTTAAAAACACTCTGACTGACAGTCCCTGATATAGTTTAATGTTCACAATGAATAAATGAACTCTTTACATGCTGACAGGAATATGTGCAATATAAGTTTTAAAATCCATCAGTGACGCAGCCTGAGAGAGAACAGGGAACTTCCTCTTCTGTTTTTATAAAAACAGTTTTAACTCAAAGCTCATCTCTCTGTCTGTAAATGTCCTGTCTGACTGAAGCTGTAAGCAGAGGTGTACCCAGATCTCCTACTGAAGTAAAAGCAGTAGTACCGCAGTGTCAAAATACTGTATTATGAGTAAAAGTCCTGCATTCAAAATATACTTAAAGTACAAAAAGTAAAAGTACTCACTATGTAAATGTCGATGTTCAGGACTGTATGAGAGGTATGGCATGACTATGATTGACAGTCTGGCTCTGCAGTCAGACACAATGAGACACCAGGAAGCAGAGAGCTGTTAGGGAGGGACCTGTCATAGCAGCCAATAGTTCTGTGTGTTACCACCAGTCCAGCAGCTGTAGTGGACCCATTACCAGTACCACTGTTGTCAAACTGTCCTCTGTCTGCACACTAACAAAAAAAATATTCAGATAGACTGATAAAGTTGTGTGTTTGTACAGTGATGATAAAGTTGTGTGTATGTGTGTGTGTGTGTGTGTGTGTGTGTGTGTGTGTGTGAGAGAGAGAGAGAGAGAGTGTGTGAAATCACATGATCAGCTTGTTGTTGAGATTTATTGTTCAGATAAGAAGCAGGGGCGGAGCTAGAGAAAGATTCATGTCCAGCAGCTGATTTAATCTCAATCACATATATTAATATTTGCTTGGAAACAGCTCCTAAATGAAGATTGAACTCATTAAAAGCATTAAACAGAACTATCTTCATTGAACTAGAATCTGCAACATTTCCTCATTGAAATGTAAATTCAGAGAATAACTTCAGAGAAAGAACACATGGATCTGAGGAGGGGCGTCTCCTCAGAGGACTGTTGTTTCATCGCCTCAAACAGGAGGAGATTCCCAGTAAAGATAGAGGGTGCAACTATTTCAGCCGGCAGGATGTGGTCGTATAAGGCCTCTGCCCTTCAAAATAAAGGGAGGATGTTAACCTTTTAAATTACTCTTAATATGATATAATTTCGTATTTACATACATTTACATACATCTGAACAATTGCTGCACAGGCCACCATTAAAGGCTTTAGGGGCCTCCTGCATTGCATAAATAGAAAGTACAGACCATGTTGTTTGGTTAAATAGATGGAGGTGATGCTTTTATTCTGAAGGAATTCAGCAGGAACTGTTAATGTCTCTGTCAGAGGTTGTAGTTTAAAAAGCAAAGAGTTTTCATGAGCTGCAAAGACCCAACGACACAGGACAGAAGGACAAAACAAGAGACCAGTTACAGGTCTGAATAACACACACACACACACACACACACACACTCAATCATGTGATTTCCTGTAGATACAGAAGGGAGGATTAAAGTGAAAGTGTTCAGTTGGTTCATTTAGAGTGGACAGAGCAGAAGGAGGAGAACTGAAGGCTGAGGCAGGGTGAGTGTTCATACAACATTTTATTATCTTACTGTCAAAGTCAAGAGTCAGTTTCTCCTGTAGAGGAAAGAAATGATTTAGATTGAAAGAAAACTGAGCAGGTGGAGTTTCAGCTGGTTTTATTTTTATTTTACTGTGTGTGTGTGTGTGTGTGTGTGTGTGTGTGTGTGTGTGTGTGTGTGTGTGTGTGTGTGTGTGTGTGTGTTACTTCCTGTCTTTGTGTGAAACATGAACAGATGTGTTGTTTCCTGATTCTGAGCTCACAGTCAGTGTTAATGTTTGACTCTCATGGTGCATTCCATTTGTCTCGTAAACCCGCCGTCTGAGAATGTGACGTAATTGCCTGGCTTGTACCACTTATAGCGTTCCATTTATTACGAGTCGGAAAGAACATGGACGCCATCAGTGCAGCAGCTGTGTTGTTATTGTTTGTGGCTCTTCTAAACAAGCTCAATGTGAAATAATAATGTTTTTCTACAGAAACACTAACATTTCAAGTAATTCCATTATTGCAAGTCTTACATCCCAATAATATTTGCCATTTTCGCCTATTTCAATTTCAACAAGTGCTGTGGCGTTTTTCTGGATCCACCAGGGGGAGGGGCAGGCTACTGTTATTGTTAGCTACATTAGCCTATTTAACCAGTTTTAAAACTAAATTTTACATTGTATTGGTGACCGGACTAAAGCAGCAATGTAAACAAGTGTGTAGGAGCATTTAAAATCGACATTAAAACGACCAACGTAGTACAAATACAAAGAAAATACATCTCAATATGGGAGCTGCCATCTTTGTTTTGCGAGTCCCCGTTTAGCTCGGTGTACTCTGAGGGACCCCGAGTGGGGAGTCTGAAATCACGACCAAAACGGGGTTTGTCGCGGTGAAATGTCGCGAGATGGCTGCGAGATTTACACTTTCCAACTCGGGTGGCGGGTTTACGAGACAAATGGAACGCAGCATCAGACTGACTTCAGATAAGAAGATGAGTGATTGTGTGGAGGAAGAGGAGGACAGAGCAGAGTCTGGAACTGAACTTAACTTGAGCATCATAACACACCAACTAACAGGGGACTGAGATACTCACAGGGGCTGGTCCCCTCTTGGTCATGCTTTAGATCAACCTAAAATCATGTGAAATGCACTCTGGTGAACTTTATACAATTTTGGCTAAGAGGGGACTTAAAGGTGTGTGAGTGTTTAATCCATATTCAGCCTTGACTCTGCAGGCTGGAGCAAGGATTTCAATGACCCATTCACACATGTCGTTTTAAACACACCTTCAAGGTGTGAATGGCTTAAGCCCCAGGCTGTCTTTCAGACTGAAGAGGGGCTATGGCCCTGTCCTCACGAGTATGCGGCCTCACCCAATACGATGTTGTTTCGAAAAAAATCTCTGTAAACACGGCGTAATTTCCAGAAATATCTGCGTCTGCACAGATCCACTGAAAACGACCCAAAACGCTATAGTACATATGCCAGGCTTGTATGTAGTGCTATGACGCCGCCACACCAATACACTAAAACCGGAAGAGAAGCCATGGAGCATGCGCTGTTTACAAACAAGTAGTAGTAGTCCGCCATTGTTGTTGTTGTTATGACGCGTCTAGCGGCGGCGGCTGAGGTTAAAGGTTAGAGAGGCGGGGTTAATGCATCATCGTTTCGGAAAAAATCCGTTATCGCCGTCCTGACGACTCAGGGCAATCCGGTGTAGCCACGAACATCTGATTCGACCATCATACTTTCGAAATTTCTTCCATATTAGATTGATTACCATAGTCGTAACGTCTGGCTCGTCAGCGCCTCCGCTTAGCTTCCAAACAAGATGGCGGTTATATTTTTTAGTTTCTGCAAGTGAAGTCCCACCCACTGATCTGTAATAGGTCTGTAGCGTGAGTGAAAAAAACATGAGGAAGTAGTGTTTGTAGTCTCACCCCCTCTACAGAGATATGAGACTTCCTGCTTCCAATGACGCAAAATGACGATTTTTACATCATTGGAAGCAGGAAGTGCAACACTGAAATCCTTATTTCTCCCCTCTCAGGGAAAGAGAGGGAATGATGCACGACCATTCAAAAATATGACTGTGGTTCTAATGATACAAAGCTTAATGCAAATGGGTGAAGTGTCCCTTTAAGGTTTTTTTTATTTATTAAAGTGGCACCAGCATTGTTGTCATTGTAGTTTTTTTAAATGTGGAGTGTATTGTGAAAACATAATGACAACCTATTATGATTTATTTTGGACATATCTAAGGGAAGTCAACTAGAGGATAGATTAACCCCACAACACCCACTGTTAGACCCCTGGCAGCTACTGTAATCACTGGATAAAATTTGTAGCTTCATTTACCCTATTATAGTGCAAATGGTTTTGGTTGGACTAAAGTCCTTACCTGCATAAACTATCATTTGTTTTTCCCTAATATTTACAATCTGTGGCGCATGAAGTACATTTATTGTTGAATAGAGAAGGCATATTAGGGGGTTGTCAAATGATGCAGGATGAGGAACTGAGAGTTTGCATACAGTGAAAGGCACACAGGCTGCATTAAGTTCACACTGATACTCAGTATGGGCCACTTTATAAGTCCTTATTTCTTCCTTTATTTTATAAGGAGTATGGTTTAAACCTGCTCTATATGAAATGGCCTGAGATAACTTCTGTTATGATTTGGAACTAAATAAAATTCAGTTGAATTGAATCAGTATTGTCAGCTGAAATGTATCTTAAGTTCTACAGTCTAACTGCTATGTTAGTGCTTTAAATGGGCTTTGAAGTGCTTAGGTCCCTCCACCACCACATACATACTCCTAAACTGAGTTTCTCACTCTTTTTCTGTGTGTACAGACAGACCCTTTCTTTTCATTTAGTATCTGTTGGTCACATACACACAGACACAGAAATCTGAATTACAGAATCAGAATTAGATTTATTGCCAGATTGAAGGATGGAAGGTTGCAGCCGATCACCTTCTCAGCAGATCGAATGATACGCTGCAGTCTGCCCTTCTCCTTGGCAGTGGCAGCAGCGTACCAGATGGTGATGGATGAGGTGAGGATGGACTCTGTGATGGCGGTGTAGAAGTGCACCATCATCGTCTTTGGCAGGTTGAACTTCTTCAGCTGCCGCAGGAAGTACATCCTCTGCTGGGCTTTCTTGGTGAGGGAGCTGATGTTCAGCTCCCAATTGAGGTCCTGGGTGATGATGGTACCCAGGAAGCGGAAGGACTCCCCAGAGTCAACTGGGGAGTCACACAGGATGATGGGGGCGGGTGGGGCTAGGTTCTTTCTAAAGTCCACAACCATGTCCACTGTTTTTAGAGCGTTTAGCTCCAGGTTGTTCTGGCTGCACCAGGTCACTAGATGGTCAATCTCCCATCTGACTCATCTCCACCAGAGATGAGCCCAATGAGGGAGGTGTCATCCGCGAACTTCAGGAGCCTGACGGACTGGTGACTGGAGGTGCAGCTGTTGGTGTACAGGGAGAAGAGTAGAGGAGAAAGAACACAGCCTTGGGGGGATCCGGTGCTGATAGTCTGGGAGTCAGACACATTTTTGCCCAGCTTCACTTGTTGTTTCCTGTCAGACAGGAAGTCTGTGATCCACCTGCAGGTGGAATCAGGCACAGTGAGCTGGGAGAGCTTGTCCTATAACAGAGCTGGGATGATGGTGTTAAATGCAGAGCTGAAGTCCACAAACAGGATCCTGGCATGGTTGTAGTTTAAAAAGCAAAGAGTTTTCATGAGCTGCAAAGACCCAATGACACAGGACAGAAGGACAAAACAAGAGACCAGGTCTGAATAACACACACACACACACACACACACACACACACACACACACACACTCAATCATGTGATTTCCTGTAGATACAGAAGGGAGGATCCAGGTACATGAGAACAGGGAAGGAACCTTAAAGTGAAAGTGTTCAGTTCCTGGGGAGTCCAGATGCTGGAGGATGAAGTGCAGCGCCATGTTAACTGCATCATCATGGCTCTGTAGGCGAAGAGGGGTAGGGGGTCCAGGAGTGGGTCTGGTACGGCTTTCAGGTGGGAAAGCACAAGGCGCTCAAAAGACTTCATGACCACAGAGGTGAGGGCAACAGGTCTGTAATGATTGAGGCCTGTGGTCCTTGTTTTTTTGGGGACAGGGATGATGATGGATGACTTGAAGCAGGCTGGCACATGACATGTCTCCGGAGACAGCTGATCAGCACAGTGCTTATAATATAAAAATACTTAATCAGATAAATTAGGTTAGTTTAAGATATTGTCTCATCGCTGATCACAAGCATCTTACTAATGTACAAATATTCATCTGAGGTTACTTAGATGAATATTTCACTTATGTCACTTTCTTTGATAAAATTAAATGTTATAAGAAATTAGAAACATAGTTCTTCGAAAGTCATAGCTGAGGTATTTATTCAAAAAGGATGACTTTGAACAAAGGCTGTAATTGGAACAGAAAGGCACCAGGCACACTTGTAAGGCATGAAGTCACCATTCAATCAATTAATTTACAAATTTTACACTGGCAGTCTTTGCTAGTGGCACAAACATACATGATTACATAATGATGTCTTTTTTTTTAAGAGTTGGGCTTGTGAGTAGCCAAGTAATGTGGTACTACATATTATGAAAAAAATCAAACTGCCATTTCTTTTGAAATTAGAAACAATATACATTTTGAAATAAATGATCAATCCAAATACTGAGGGTTGAGCACAAGAAACAAAGAGAAGTGTGAAGATAAGGCTTCCCTACCCCCACACTTAATTTACATCTACATCTATGCAGAAGGACTTCAGGTGACAGTGTCACGGTCACAATGAGACCTGAGGGGAGGCCAGAATGTGGTACTGCTTAACAAGCTGACATTGGATCAGATCACCAGATCTATAGTTTATGTTTTAGTTTTTACAATTGCAATTGGTTATGTGTCTCCTAATTACAGAAAGGTGAATAACCTTTAATAATTCAATTTTATTTATTTCCTGCAGTTTGTTCTCTTAGAAAAAAGTAGCTATTTTGACAGTATAGAGCACAAAGAGAACCAGACTGGTAGCCAACCTCTCTGAAGATGCGTCACTAAAGGCCAGCAGTGTGTAGCATATGTTTAACCCAGGACAGGAGAATAACAATGTGTCAGTCAGTCCAAATTAGATATAACATCTTGCCTATGACAATTTTTTCAATACAACTAAATTACAATTTATTTATATAGTGTCAAATTCTACCAGAAGTTATCTCAGGACACTTTTCATAAAGAGCAGGTCGACACTGTATTCTTTATGACATTTACAGAGAGAACAATTCCCACCATGAGCTAGCAACTGAGTGAAATAACTAATAAGTTAACAACCCTGAAGCCCAATGTGAAAGGGCTTACCCAGACACCCTCTCCCAAGCTGCAGACCAACAAAGAGTAAAGGCCTTGACACACCAACCTGATTATCGGCCGTCGGACGTCGTCGGACAGTCAGGCGAGGTCGGTGACTCAAGTCGGTTCGGTTTGTCCCGTGCTGTCGTCAGTCGGAGTCGGCGTTGGCGTTCATTTGGCCGATTCGATCGGCCAGTGGCCTCAATGACCAATCTGATTGGTGGAGTGCTAGCCCTTGACTAGCGAATCAGTGAGTGCACGAGAAAACCGGAAGTGACGATGGTAAACAACGCCAGTATCTTGTTATTATTAGCCATCGTATTTTTTTATTCAGCGAGTAATGACAAAAACAATCCTTCTTGACTACTATCAACACTCTCTGATGAAAACAATGACTGACGACAGAGTCTAGAGTGATCCGTCATTTCCGTTTTTTCTTCTTTCCATTTTTTTGGGGGATTAGCGCCGCCTGCTATTATGGGGACGTATTACGCCTCACGGACGCGCAGAACGTATGCTCCAGTCGGCGTCGGTTTTATGTGTACGGAGGCACTTTTTTGAGCCGACTGATCAGTCCGACTGCTTTTCTGCTGACGGTTGGCCGTCGGGTTGGTGTGTCCTGGCCTTAAAAGAGATAGTATGAAACAGATTCACACCTGTGAAGGCCCCTGGGTGCTGGTCACTTCACTACTTCAGTGTAGAGCTGATGGTTTAGGTCCACATCATA